CCGGCCAAGACAGGCTGACATACTGACTCCAAAATACAGAATTTAAGCTGCACTCCGCGGGATTAAATGAAAAAATAGCCTAAATCACCTTTAAATCTGGAATCGGCCACAGGTCAGATCTGTCCCCAGTCAAAAAAAGACTCCAATCAGAAAGTGCTAGAGGGTTTTTCCTGGGTAGCAAGCGTCCCCTTCACAGCCCCGGAAATACTGCCTCTATTCTACAGGGGGCAAAAGTAACCCACGCACAGCATCTTATTTTGAGGATTTAAATGGGGCATAGGCATCATGCCAGCCTTCTGCAATGAGATGAATTTAGGCATCTACTTTAATTTACTCTATGTAATATCAGCAAAATTGGTAACTCGCAGGCTACATGTTCCAGTCCTACCACCATCTAGATTTTTAATTATTATGGGGACATTGAACTCCATTTAGAACACTTCCATAATTGGCCCTTATTTTGTACCCGAATAATTGAAAGAAAAAAAATATATATATATATATTTAAAAAAATAAAAGGTCCCATTTTCTTTCGTGAGAATCACTGAACTGCTAACATGTTAAAATCAACATGGTCTTAGAATTGTATATTCCAGCAGACCCAAGAAAATCAAAGATTGCAAACCAACTCTGTGCAACAGAGAAGCAGAACTTAAGGGATGATAAAAACTTCTCAGCTAATTCAAGGCCAGTGAACATTACAGCCAAAGAGCTGAGCCAAACAGTTAACTGGACTGCAATGCAGTGTCCGATTTAAGAGACCTGTGAAAGATGCTTTAGGGGAACACAGGTATGATGGGAGTTGAAGGGTTATGGCAGGGGTGGGGAACCTTTTTTGGGTTGCAGGCTGCTGAGCCACAGAAAAATCAGTTGGGGGTCACCACACACAAGTGAGAAGCAAAATAAAAACAAACAAAAAAACCTCACTGACGTGGCCCCGACTAAGAAGGAGAAAGACGCACCCCACATTCCCCTCACACACTAAAGCCTAGGGGAGCCCAAGCTAATAGATTTTGTGTGCCCCAGCCCAGCGGTGGGACAGCGGGGCCCAATGCTGGGGGGGAGCCTTGAGCCTCAGGGACCGGATCCAAGCAAGCTGGGGGCCGGATGCGGCCCCTAGGCCTGAGGTTTCCCACCCCTAGGTTAAGGCAAGGCATTATCAAGTACGTTAAAGTAATACCACCCTAGAAGGGTGGAAGGCAACACCATTCAAACGAATCAAAACAACCTAACTCTCTGTATCACCTAATGGGCAGCAGTGGCCAAACTGAACCAGGACAGCTATGCTCAGATAAAACAGAAAGCACGGTCATCCCTCCATCAGTTAAACGTACAAAGGTGCAAACACAGTCATTAACAGATACAAATTAGATGAAATCAGTGACTACCAAGGTGCTATTTGATCATATGAAAGTCGTCCTTTCAAAAATATGTTGTTTTTAAAATCTTAAATAGGCACATGCTCCTTGCAGCAGGCTGGACACCTACGGCAGAGCTGAGGTAACGAGAGCGGCAGAGAAAAATCAACACTTCTAATCATGATGCCTTGGTAAGTAGAAATATTGCCCCTTGCGTAGATGACGTCAGAGGACAAAGTGCTCCCTACACTGTCTTGTTCAAGACTTAGCAGCAACTCAGGGAGATCCCTTCTGCTGCGTGGCTGGTAGCAACCCAATTTAGGCACTGTCAATTTTTCAGTCTCCTTCCCGCTTTTTCTAACAGGTCAGTTTCTCCCTCATTAACAAGAGAGAAATCATTGCAGAGAGAAAGGAGCTGCCATCCCAAAGACACCTCCCAAAGCATCTAGCCTGCATCTAGAATAGAGCCCTGTCGGTGTAAAGCACCACCCCAGCTGGTGATTCTCCATCTTGCCGGGTGACTGTGCTGGGATTCTTGTAACAATAACACCCTCTTCCCTGCAAGAGGGGGCGATGTTTACGACTGCAAGGCTGCGTGGCCCTTTATTTGCAAATAAACTGCACCGTGGCTGAAGCCACATGCTTTAGTCCTGGGGGAACCCTGCAACTGTTGCATTTGGAGCCACAGTAAAATGGCAGAATTGCCCCAGGGCTGATGCTGTGCTTGAACCAGGTTTGTTGCTAGCAGAGTTCCCACCACAGCGTTTGCATCCAAGGAGGGTGCGCGGAAGGAACCACTGGCTGCACACTTGCAGTACATTCCCAGAGGGCCCCCCGCCATGCTACAACAGGACGTTTCTGTGGCTCACTGGGCTTATTCTAAGACCCAGCCCAGAGCACCAACGCATGGACTGACACAGCTCCTCTCACGCCGGAGTTATTTCTGAACCCTGCACTGCCGCAGCGTTAGATTTGCAGTCGATAGAGATCCGGCTTCGACTCCTCTTCAAGGTCAACAGTCCAGCCAATAGTCCTTCTCAGAAGTGTTCAGAGGGACTTGTCCTCCGTGTCTTTCTGTGCCTGATAACCTTGGTCAGCAATGCCATCGGTACTGAATCCAATAGCTTGGTAGATATTCAACACCTCTGTGAGGAAGGGACTTTGGTTTGAAACAATATAAAACGGTACAGTCTGACAGTGTGTTGATCCCACAGTCTAGCCAAACAAGTTAGAACTACTTCAGTCTCTCCTGGCCCAGAAGCATCCTTTAGCCGTAAACAGATTTCTTCATTCTCTAAGTCAAGTAATGACTTGTACTGTCATTGTACCCCTTCCATCTCTGGGTTGCTGCACTGGCACTAATTGCAACCGCAACACTGGCCCGCCTAACCCACTCCCCACCACCTCCTCACAGTCATTCTCCAAGCTGGCTTCATTAACCTAATACAGGGCAGACCCATTACCAAACACAAGAAATAGCTCCAGACCTCAGATTGATATCACTTGACGAGGAGTCAATTATAAAAGGCAATTAGTAAAAAGTAATCTTCTATCAGCATTACAAGAGCATTGTGTAGTCAACAAGAGAGAATCCAAGTACCTGATACTTCAGCCTCATTGCAACCATTGCTAGGAGGGGTATGAATGTCTACAGGATATTGACTAGATTTCACAGGCAGGCTGAGGTGGCTGCAATACTTCAGTCCATCACTAGGAATGTTAGAAACTGAAAGCCCGCCAGAGATAGTCACATTCTCATCATCCTGAGTTACAAGGCCTCCTGTGTGAGCCATACGACCCAGTACAGTAAGACCTGTCATCTCATCACTCTGCCTTCTTCTACACAATGGAAATGGGGGTAGAGCCCTCCCCCCACGCACACCTATAAAGTTGTGTACTCTTAACTAGCAGTCATCTTAGGCAGTTAGAAACAATAAACCCAGGAAATGGTGAGACGATTCTGCAGGTGGACTTGTAGCTTCGCAGTCAGAGCCAAAGGTCCCACATCACCTGGAAAATAGAAGACATCCAAGCACCAGAATGAGCATTTACAACTTGACAGATTGTTAGTATCCCTTAAGATAGCTGGGGGCAGGCGGCAGGGGGAGCGAGTTGAAGGAGGGCTGCACACATGCACACACACTTCTCCTCCTCTTTGAAAATACTTTGAAGGAATCAATCCCACTTATCAAGACTCCACTACAAAAAGCATGCACTAAAATTAACGTGTCTTAATGGGATAAAGACCGCTTTGACTTAGGACATGATTGGTTCTTCCTATTAAGACTAAGAATGCTTCCTGTGGAGACTCTAGAAAGATAATATACTGTACAAGCATTTAATGCCCCTAAGGAAGCATGTGGGTGAGCTCTCTATTAACTGCTTCCTCTCTGTAAAAAGAGAGTGTGGTCTAGTGGATGAAGCACTAGACTGAAAACTCAGGAGACCAGGCTTATTCCTGACTCTGCTACAAATCTGCTGAGAAAACCATTTTGCATCTGTGCCTCTATTTCCCCAGCTGTAAAATGAGGAAGATACTGGCCTCCCTTGTAAAGTACCTGGAGAGCTACTGATAAAAAAGCTAGGCATTCTTATTACACTGTATGGGATCAGAACAGAACACAATGAAGAGAAAGTGATTTCTGAACAAAGACAGAGGAGAGCACATGCCTCCAAATGTAGAGTCGTGCAGAGCTGGGTGCTCAGTGTTAAAGGCCGAGTTTGCTTTATTAGGTGTTCAGTCGGCAATATTCCATCTGGCAAAATTCCAAGTAAAAGAATAACAACTTCAAAGTGCCTTACATGCATTAGCTGATTAAATGCAAAGGAGCCTGACATGGTTAGTACAGATGCAGCAAAAAGATTTCTTGGCTCTCAGAACAGCGAAGAGAGGAGCAGATTGCTTCAGACAGAAGGACACTGGTAGACAATGCAGAGACTCCATGATGCTAGGGAAGATGATTTTGGGATATGCATTGCTAGAGCTATGCAGAGAGAACTCACATGCAGCCTGCCCACAGCATGCCTGCCTCTAGCCACTGTTTTCAGTCTCCCACTTTCAGTAGCTAGAACATTAAACCAGAGACGGGGAACACACAGCACTCTTTGCCCTCTTACACACTGCACAGGAAACCACACCTGCACTCCAGACACTGCTTAAATGCTGCTCCAATTGCTGGGTAATCAGTCCCTTCATCTCCTTTGCTGGGAACTGAGTCCGAAAGGTGTGCACATCAGATGCTCTCCCTCCCTTTCCATCTTTGTAAAGGACTGTTCTACAATCAATTCCAGCACTATGTGATAATGTCACTGTGTTTGTTCTGAATTGTACTCTCTTAGACCTTTGTAGAGCAACCTCTATAGGAGAGCAACATAACTACCTGACACAGATCACCTATTGTACTGCACTGGGTCCATCGCAGAAATACGCGCAATAAAAGTTACTGCGGAAAAGTCCAATCACTACTGCAGACTGGAAGGAGGCAGAAAAATTATGCAAAGCAGAGTAAGGGGAAATTTCACATTGGAAAAAATGTTAAAGTCTTATCTTATCAAAAGCCCCTAGTAGATTCTTAAAACAAAGGATCTGAAATCTGTTTACCATTCATTTCACTTAGTCTCTGGGAGAAAATAACCTAGACAATTTCATTTGGGCAGGCGTTAGTAAGTTTCTATTCAGTTTTACTTGCTGGTTTTCATGCACTAGCACCATGCTACTAAGCTGAGTGAAACCCTGCTCCAAAAAAAACAAAACAAAAAAAATACTTCCCCTCCCCCAGTTAAACAACAAATCAATATTTCTATTGCTCTCGGGTTTTGTAAATGCTAATTATTAATGCATGTCTCTAACAAATCCAGATGTATAAAGGCCCTTTAGTATCCTAAACAAGATCATCTATAGTGCTCAGGTCCTTAACTCAATTTTTGTTTTTCTTCATTTAAATCACTGCTATGGGGTGGGTCTTGGGTGAGGGGTTCAATATGCAGGATGAACCAAGGAGAGAGGGCAGCCCCAGCCCTCTCTCACTGCAGCAGCTTGGGGCCAGCTGAGAAGCACTTCTCCATGGCAACTGCAGCTTCAGCAGGCACAGTTGGGGGAGGGGTGCATGGCCCCCGGCTGGAGCAGGTCCAGGTTTGTCTGCTCCCTGCGTTCCCCCACCAGAGTGAGGAATACAGCAAACTATGCATTTTCCCCCAGCTCCCTGACAGCCAGCAATGTCTCTGTACAAATGGGAAGGGGGGAGCTTCAGCCCCCCCTTTCGCCCAAGGGTGCCTGAGGAGTGAGAACCTCAGGGCTGCGGCAGTTCCACACTAGGGATAAAGGGGTGCCCCCAGCCAGCCCCTTTCACCTGCCTTGTGATTCTGTCTCTTTTTGGCGTCTTCCCATTCCAGGCACATCCCATTTTCCTGGTACAATCAAACCCTGACCTTGCTTTGAGTTAGGATCCGAGGAAGTTGCATACTGAATTTGGTGGTCCTAATTCTTATCTTTTAGGAGGAATTCTTAGACATACAGACAGACACACACTCTTAAATATATGGGAGTGTATGTTCTCTTGAGACTGTTAACATTAATAGAACCCAAAGGCCTGACCCTGCAGTCGGATCTACAAAGTTGGACCCTTGCACCTGAACAGAGTTTCACTTGTAAGGATCCAACTGCAGGATCTGTGCATCTTTTGAAAGAAACAGTTAGCTACTTGTAAACATGCACCTACCGTCTCAGATTTCTTGTTTCAAATACTGTGTCTTCGTCGCTGTCAAGTGAACCCAACTCCATATTTTCATCATAGTTTGAAAGCAGACCATATTTCTTCCGCTGAGGTTTCTTCAACCTGAAATCAGTTTTGAGCTCATTTACAGATACTTCTGAACTTACAGGTACTAATCTCCCCTCCCATCGGCCGCAGCCACCCCCCCAGCGCCATCCTCCCACGGCCCTGACCCCCTTTTTCCTCCCCCTCCCCCCCGGCCCTGAACCCCTTTT